GAACACCAGCTTCCTAGCAAAGCCCCCACCCACAGCAAAGATCACTCCAAGGCCTGTGGTCTTGCAGTAGGCTACAGGTGTTTGGAGGACCAGGACTAGATCAAGTTCTAACCACACCAATATTTTCCTCCACCAGAGCCCCAGTGTCAAAGGAGCTGCCAGAAGGCCTGTTCAAGGAAAGGGTAGTGACAGAAGCCAAGGAGACTCTCCCCAGCCCTCTGCATCCTGCTTCTTGCCCAGCACTCCAGGCCTCCATATCAGCCCTGCCCCAGCGTCCCGTCCTCTCTCCCCCACTCTATCTACCTGTGCAATGGTTGTCCCTGCAGATATCTACACCATCTCAGCCCCAGACCACAGAGCGCTCCCCTGCTCACCCTTCACACCTTCAGAACTGCATTCCCTGCTCAAAGACCCTCTGTGGCTCCCCAGGACAGAAGAAACAGTCGCAGCTCCTCAATGGGTCTCTTAAAGCCCTCCCACTCCCACCTCACATCTTCCTGCCTATATCTGCAGCTGGGCCTGCTGGGCCAGCCAGCACTCTGACCTGCTCTGTTTCAGTTTCCGGCCTCCATAGCTTTGCTCAGGCTATTCCTGCCTTCCAGGATGCCCTTCCCATGCCTCAGGAGCCAGTGGCTCCTCCTGTGCCCCACCTCGGCCCTCAGAGCCAGGCACACAAACTCTGCAACTGCATTGCATGGAGCTCCGACCCAAGGGGACTTGTCTTTGGCTCCAAGCCTGCAAAGGAGAGCAAGAGGGAGTATTTCACAGGATAAGCCACGTGAGTGGCTGGGGGAGAGGCGCGGAGCTGGGAAAGAGCAGATGTGTGAGCAGTCTTTGAGTCAGAAGGCACTAGAGATGGTGAGGGAGCAGATAGTGTGGCCAGGGGCAGAGGACTGGGTCTCTCCCTGAAAGCCCCATCCTTTAGCCACACCTGAAAACACATACTCAGCAGCTGTGGGGTGGGGGGACAGCACCTGGCTGCCCTTGGATGGGAGGGTGCTTAGCTCAGGCCACCCCCAGCCCTGGTAGGAGTGTGTGATCTGTAGGACCTGTGGCCATCTGCAGCCTGGGAGGCCCTAGCAGGGCTTGCCCAAGCTCTGTTTGCACGTCTGCAGTGATGGAGAGCTTGCTCACTTAACAGGCAGCTCACAAGGTGGGGTGGAGCTCTGAACAAACAAAACCTCTTCCAAATGGAACTGAAATATGCTCCTGGGGCTCCCCACTGAGCCCCCACCAGCCCCATGGTCCCTGCGGGGTAGCCCCTGCCGGACCCCGTGTCTCCTCCTCCAGACCTGGCAGCCTCAGGACACTCAGTTCTTCCCCAGGAATCACCTCCTTAGGGCACAACCCTCAGATGACCTTGATATGGTCTGGCTGTGTCCCCAACCAAATCTCATCTTGAATGAACTCCCATAATCCCCATGTGTTGTGAGAGGGGCCAGGTGGGAAAGAATTGCCTCACGGGAGCAGTTTCCCCCATACTGCTCTGTGGTAGTGAGTAAGTCTCACAAGATCTGATGTTTTTATAAAGGTAGTGAGTAAGTCTCACAAGATCTGAGCCCTTTTCACTTGGCTCTCTTTCTCTCTTTGCCTGCCACCATGTAAGGCATGCCTTTTCCCTTCCGCCATGATTGTGAGGCCTCCCCAGCCACGTGGAACTGAGTCCAATAAACGTCCTTCTCTTTATAAATTACCTAATCTTGGATATGTCTTTATCAGCAGCATGAAAATGGACTAATACAGACCTAGAACCCCCTCACCCTTCCCTCATCTCTGCCCCAAACAGGACGCCACCCCCTAACACGAATTCTGCCTGGGAGACATGAAAACCTGAGATTTGGGCTTTACTCAAAACATTACCCTATCAGAGCCACAATGCAGCAAGTTTAGCTCACCTGAGTGGGGCCTCAAAACAAACCCCCAGAAAGAAGGCTGCTGAATGTGTGGCCTGGGCACCCTCCCTGCCCAGGCCTGACAGCTTTTGTCTCTATGGTCTATGATCCCCAAGGACACTTCCCAAGATCCCCTCCAATTCCCACTCCTCTTACCACTGGGGACAGAATGTGCATTCCATGACCAAGTAGCCCCTTTCTTCACAGTTGTGTGACTAAAGGGTCTCTCCACTCTGACCCTCAGTCTCCTCATCTTTCAGAAAGTGGAAGAATAAGATCACTCACAGATCCCTACTCATCTCACTTCCATCTCCCCTACCCTCTCTCTGCCACACACACACACACATATCCTACCCTGGGGTGAAGTTACGATTTTATTTTATTTTATTTTATTTTATTTATTTATTTATTTATTTATTTATTTATTTTGAGACGGAGTTTCGCTCTTGTTACCAAGGCTGGAGTGCAATGGCGCGATCTCGGCTCACCGCGACCTCCGCCTCCTGGGTTCAGGCAATTCTCCTGCCTCAGCTTCCTGAGTAGCTGGGATTACAGGCACGTGCCACCATGCCCAGCTAATTTTTTGTATTTTTAGTAGAGATGGGGTTTCACCATGTTGACCAGGATGGTCTCAATCTCTTGACCTCGTGATCCACCTGCCTCGGCCTCCCAAAGTGCTGGGATTACAGGCTTGAGCCACCACGCCCAGCCTGCTAATTTATTTTTGTATTTTGTAGAGACAAGGTCTCCCCATGTTGGCCAGGCTGTTTTTGAACTCCTGACCTCAGGTGATCCACCCACCTCAGCCTCCCAAAGTGCTAGGATTACAGGCGTGAGCCACCGCGCCCAGCTGTTACGATTTTATTAACTGCAAGGCCCTTGTCATCCAACACCGCACCAAGCCCACGTGAGAGGGGCCACTCCCACTGCCAGTTGCCTTTCCAGATTAGAGACGCTGAGAGCTCAAACTGATAACTGTCTTAGAAATGGGTGGAAACTGCTGCCCAGTTATTTTCATATATCCTCTGTCAGGAGAAGGGCCCCTGCCAGGCCCCAGGGCAGAGTACCGAGCCATGCTGTCTCAAAAGGGCTCTGGGTGGCTCGTGCAGGGGATTTGTTGCCCTGGGGACTCTGCTAGTGTACACTGAGCCCTGATCCCCACCTCAGGGTGAACTCAGATTCCTGCGGCAGGCCGGGCTTGTATCTCTCTGGGCGCCTCTATGACACTTGCTGGGGCTCTAGAATTGGAGGCCCTGGTCTCAGTCACTTGCCCAAGAGACCCACAGCCCCTGCCCTGGCAACCTTTCCCTCCAAGGCCCAGGGTCCAGATGACCTTGCAGGCTCCGACCCTCCCTCTGCCTTCCAGCCTGGCCTGCTCTCCATTGTTTGCTGGCTGTGTTGCCATGCACAGATGGATGTCCTGGAGCACCACCAGCAGTGACACCAAGGACTTCATTAAGGTCGCTCTACAAGGGGCACAGGGAGTGCACACCAGTCCTCCCACTCCCCTGTGGAGCTGATGGGCAGGGCCTCTGCCACCCTCAGAAGCAGCCAGGCTCAGGACAGCTGACCCCAGCCTGTGCCTGACCTCCATGCCATCTCTTGTTCCCAGTGTTTTGTCACAAACTGTAGGTTGCAGGCTTGACAGACTGGCTCGCTCACTCCCATACTGTGCAGGGAGGGAGAATGAGGCCAAGATAGGTAGAATCCTGTTGCAGTCACAGGACATAGTGGCCGACTTGAGACTGGACCCCAGGCCTGTGCACCCAGCTCAGAGAACTCTCAGAAGGGTCAGGTTCCTCCATGGGCCCATTTCCTGGAATAACTTGGAAGCCCTAGTCAGAAAGAGACACAGAGCCACCCTAACCTTTGACCTCTGACCTGCCCCACCTAGGATGAAGGGCCCTGGAGGCCTGGGTCCGACCAAGAATCAGATGAGACCTGGGAGGCACCTAGGTGTGATGATTCCAGGTCTGGGCTGGTACAGCCTGCTGAGGGGCAGGGGAGGTGTTTCTCCACCAGGACTCCGTGGTTAGACACCCATGAGCCGGGAGCACCAGGGTCTCCTCTTTTGGGTAGCTCTGCTCTTCCTTGCCCTTGGAAGTCCACTTCCTTGACACCCAGCACCTCAAGCTCCATGTGACTGGGCACAGTGTCCCACTGGCAAAGCCGAGAACGTGCTGCGAGTCCGGCTAAGGCGCCGAGGTGCCGGCCAGGCTGCGCTTCAGCTTCTGAGCTGATGTTGCTCTGCGTGCGCCACTCCTCTCTGGTGTTCCTGGGGTACTCATAGTCCATCCTGATGACACATGTCACCTGGAGCTGCTCTGGTACAACTTGGAGCCACCTGGCACCTGTTCAGGGACACCAGTAACTTCTCCAGCAGCTCCTCCTCAAACCAGGTCACTCCGTGTGCCCAGGCCAAGCCTGTCCTTCCTCCAGGACACATTCCTGCACCCCTGGGGCTTCCTGCAGCTCTCAGCCAGCCTGATCCAGAGGGCCAGGTCTGTGAGGGGGCCACTTCCCACATTGCCTGAGTCACTCCATGCCTGGAGGGCCGAGAGGCAGTGCCCAGAGAAAGCACAGAGCTGGGTGACTCTGCCGAAAAGGGTGGTGTCCCCTGCTGGCTTCCTCCAGCCTCAGGCTACCTCAGAAGGGAGCTCCATGCAGGACCCCAGCTCCTCCCTGCCCTGAGAGCTGTCCCCAAGCCTGGGGACCCTAGGCCTGCAGATCCCAGTCATCCTGGCTTGTTTCCATCCCCACCCAAGGAGGTCCTCAGGCGCTGGCTGGAAACTAAGCATATTGCTTTGACACCAACGTCAGAAGCCCAAAGAATTAATTGTGAAATACCAGGACAGCTTGCTATTTTAAAGGAAGGGAAAGGAAGCTCTAGAGATCGTTATGTCAAAATCGAAGTAAAATTGTATTGGACTTGAAAGCACTGGGCATTTCTGTGAGACCCCTGGGGTGAGGCCTGTGCTTTCAGGGAAGGCAGGTGGGGCCTGCAGAGCCTGGTGTACAGGTGGGGCCGCTCTGTCCACAGGTGGCTCAGGAAGGTGCTTAAAGACTGTGGCCAAATTCTCTTAAGATTCAAAACGAAACCAGTTATTCTTAGTAGGGACATTTTTCAGCTTGCAGCTGAAGGCCTAGGGGGCAGAAGGGCTGACAGGAAAGGTGGAGACCGGTGGCTGAGGGGCTGGTCCCAGGGGCCCTAGTATGGGCAGAGTCCCTCCTGGTGATGAGATGGTGACAGGGATTGCTGAGAATGGTGGGGGCTCCTCCCTCCTCCGGCATTGGCCTGGCCCCAGGTCGGCGCAGATGAGTGGGGGTTTCTTGCGCCCGAGTCTTTCGGAGAAGCCTTAGGTGGAGGTGCAGGGGCAGGCCTCTGTGCAGGCGGGCCCTGGGGACTGCCAGGGGCCCCCTGTGCACTCCTGGGCTGAGATGGGGGCTTCTCTTGTGGGCTCTCGGGAGAAACCGCAGGTGCATCTGCCTTCTGCAGCGGGTAGGTGATTTCTCCACTTATCTCATTCACCCAGAAAAACATGTCTAGAGGTTTCTGTCCCTGTCCAAACTGACTTCTAGACATACCTAAAAGGTAAAAAAGTGAGACAACATGGGTGAGTCTTCCATTCTCCATGTGCTGGGTGGAGGGTCAGAGGGAACTGCCGGGGCAGGGCTTCCCTCACCCGAACCTCTCACCAGGGGACTCGCTCGCTCTCCTCCCGGAGCTTTAAGCCTTCCTGGGACAAGGACAGGCCTAACTGGAGGCTCCAGGTGAATTCTAGGATCATTTCCTTAAATGGTCTTTTCAAAATATTTTAATTTTAACCAAGTATACTAAGTATACTTATGTCTTGACCTAGTTCAGAGATGTGTGTGTACTAACAATTTCGTGGAATGTAAATAGTTATGTACAATAGTCTCTGATATTTTCCACTTTTTTAGTGTAATTAAATTTACTATATTCCTTAATAAAATGATGATTGCCATTCAAATTCATTTTGTAACAACAATAATGAACCATAGCTTGAAAAACATAGTCTTCAATTAAGAGAAGCATGGAGAATCTGATACAAAAGAACACCAGAAAAATCACTCTTGCAAATTTTACATAAACATGACCATGTGTGGTCAGCAGAATGGTCCCCCAAAGAGATGGCCCTGCCCTAATCCTTGGAACCCATAACTGTGTTTCATTATATGGCAAAAGGGTATTCTGCAGATGTCATTAAAATTATGGACCTTAAACTAGGAGTATTATGCTGGATTACCCAAGTGGTCCAATCTAAACACTTAAGCCCTAAAAAGCAGAGAGCTTTCTCTGACAGGCACCACAGAGATGCAGCAGGAGAAGTGAGAGAGATTCTAAGCATGAGAAGGACTCAACCCACTGTTGCTGGCTTGACAATGGAAAGGGCTTAATGGAAACTGTGTCAACAAAATGAGCCTGGAAGTGGATTTTCCCAGAGCTCCGATATAAGCCGAAGGTAGACAAAATCTTGATGTTGATCTTATGAGACCCTAAGCGGAGTACCAAGCCATGCTTGCTGACTTAGGGACTTCATTGGTATGAGAGGAAATGGGTGTTGTGGCTGGGTTTGGTGGTTCATATCTGTAATCCCAACAAGTTGGGAGGTGGGAGGATCACTTGAGCCCAGCAATTCCAGACCAGCTTGGGCAACATAGGGAGAACGCAACTCTTTAAATAATAATAATAATAGAAATAAATTAGCTGCAGGTGGTGGCATGCACCTGTGGTCCTAGCTACTCGGAAGGCTGAGGTGGGAGAGTCACTTAAGCCCAGGGCAGTCAAGGCTGCAGCGAGCCGAAATTGCAGCACTATGCTCCCTCCAGCCTGGAAGTCAGAGGAAGAACTCGTCTCTAAATAAATAAATGAATAAATAAAAGGTGTTGTATCAAGCAGCACACCTGCAGTCAATTGTAAGAATAGGTCATTTCCTATTCTTACAAATGGCCACAAAAGGAAACACATATGCCATGTGAGCACGTTCTCAGGATCAGCACAGGAGGCAGCCTGCAAGTCTGGGTGACTCTTCCTACTTTCTTTCAATCAAATTCCTTTACCTTCTTTAGAATGGACACAATGACTGTCAATCCTGAGGAACTTCAATGTGCGCTACCCAGAATATCAACTAGCTCAGCCAGAAGCGGGTCCTGACACCTGTGTCCCACAGGAAGTTCTGATTTGCTCAGGCAGAGACGATTTCCCAGCATCCCCTGGTGGCCACAAGGTTTTGGGGGAGTTAGCACAACTTGCAGGGATCCCCAGAGTCAGGGTGGTTGGAAACAGGGGCTTGAGGGGCTCAACAGTGAGGGGCTGGCCAGGAGCTAAGGAACTGGACAGGTAGGAAGGGTTTGAAGCTTACCTATTGGAAGGTTCTGGGGTGGAGGAGTCTGTGGAGGGAGCTTCAGCGGACAGGGAGAGCATTAGAAGGCTGGGGCTCCTAGCAATCTAATCTTTATTGTGTAAAGCGTTTCCCACCCTATCCCAGCCTAGCTTCTGCCTGGCGATCTCAGAACCCTGCAGGGAAGCTCCCCACTGGCCCCTGCCCCGTCCTCTCTCTGTCACAGCGCCTGACGCCCCCAACCTGGAAGTGTGCCTGCCATTGCTTTCCCTGCCTGATTTCTGGCAGTCCTGTCACATGGCTCCAAAAACAGCATCGGGGATTTTCTAGAACATGAATTTACAAACAAGGGGCGATGTCCTCTGAGAGGGTAGGTTTGTGTTCAGCATGATGGAAGCCAGGGCTTCCTGGATTGGGAACATCTCTCGATCTGCTCCCTACTCCCCTGGGTCTGGCTTGCTGGGCCTCACACCCTCTTCACACCTTGATGTCCCTGAGAATTAGATGCTGCCCCGCCATGTCACCACTGCTCACTGGGACCGCCCAGCCCAGGCACACCTTGAATCCTCACCAGGTTCCCTAGCCTGTGGACCCAGCAGCTGCTGTGTGTCCCATGGAGCCAGGCCACGGTGCTGGCAGAAGAGGGAACGGTCGTCCTCCTGGGCTAGCCCCAGGTCACCCAAGCAGGCTTTTTCCTCTCCTTACCTGCCTGGTGGCGCCCACCCAACGTGGGGCAGCCCACAGCGCTGCTGGAGCTGAGTGAGAAATGAATTCCTTCCCAGCCCCTAGACATTCCCCCAGCAGCCTTCCCGCTGGCGCTAGTAGCCTTGGGCCTTCCCAGACTGCGGCAGGCCTGTCCTCAGCATGAGGCCATTACTAAGGTGAAGGGGACCCTCCCTGGCTCATCTGGCCTGCTCCAGCACTGCGCTTGGTGAGGCTGGTTGTGTTTCTCCCCTCCTCCCCGTGGCCTCTCCAGTTGGGTTCACACAGGGGCAGTTTCCCCAGGAAGTTGTAACTCATTCCATTACCTTCCCCCACTTGATCTTGGAAATCCCCTTGCTGTGAATACTGGCAAGCTTGAGAGCTTATTGCTCCCACCATGGCATCCAGCTCGTGATCAGTGTGTTCTGAGGGCTTTGTCTTCCAAGCCTTGGACAACCCTGAATACTGATTAGTCTTTGGTTGGCTCCAAGACGCAATGTCACACAAGCACCAACCTGTGGACACGCTGAAGTTCCCATAGAGTCTTTTCTTTCAAGCCAAACACTGGCTCCCTTTACATTTTTTCTAACGCTAATGCCTGTGCATAACTTTCTAACTGGCACAATTTTCCCAAGGATAATTTGGAATTATAGTGACTTCTTTGGGGAAACTCCGATTTAGACAAAAGAAAAACAAAGCAAAATTCTCCATGTCCAATGCTCTACTGTCTTCAACTGGTATGATTTGAACTCAAAAAATGCCTCTCTAAAATATTCTTAAGTTATCACTAATATGAAATCGGAGCATCTTTTTTCTCAGGAGCATCTGTTTTTTGTTTTTTATTGTTTTTTGGGTTGTTTTTTTTTTTTTTTTTTTTTTTTTAAGATGGAGTCTCACTCTGTCGCCCAGGCTAGAGTGCGGTGGTCTGATCTCGGCTCACTGCAACCTCTGCCTCCCGGGTCCAAGCGATTTTCTCCTGCCTCAGCCTCCTGAGTAGCTGGGATTACAGGCGTGCGCCACCATGCCTGGCTAATTTCTGTATTTTTAGTAGAACGGGTTTCACCATGTTGGCCAGGCTGGTCTCAAACTCCTGACCTCAAGTGATCTACCCAACTCAGCCTCACAAAATGCTGAGATTACAGGCCTGAGCCACTGCGCCCAAGCACTCATCTTTAGATGCTGACATTTCCACATTTTATGGAAGGCTTCAAGTCCAAAACTGTCGCTATGTCAGGTAAACAAACATGTTGGCTGGCAAATCATTCTATTGTACAAACATCAGCATTTGGCTAAACATCTTAAGAAGACTCTGGATACCAAGAATGAAAGAACCCTCATGGGGAAAGTCTTTGTCTGGTTTGCCTAAATGACAGATCATTTTGTTTCACAAGGGAGGCATCATTCCTTTCCATACTTTGGAGATTAATACATTCTGGCTTTTAAAAAGTCATATGGCTTGATAGAATTATCACAAACTGAAATTATGTTGAAACCAGATATGGGACACTCTCTTGTATGTATTGTATAAATGTTTAATCTTTCATCCCTCTTTTTGCAGAGAAAAATGATGATTTGTCTAAAGCCAGCTCCCTCTCATTTTTTTCTATGCTACTTCCTCTCTTTTTTCCTCTTTTGAAAACTTGACTTAACAAAAATTACATTGAGCTGTTATCTATATATTCTAGGAATTTTTAGTTCAGATAAAGTCTAAATTGTCTAAAGAAAAGGGTTATTAAACTATGTTTCTTTTTATGGACAGGACACTAGAAAGTGTATTTCCCTAATAACACTTTAAACTCTCTATGACATAAAAAAAGACATCAACTTCCAAAGAAAGGAAAACCTTAGCACGATTCACTCTTTAATTATTAATTTATCATTTAAAAAAATGTTAGTACAATATTTTGGCTTATTCAAGACCAAAATTATATTTCTCATAACTCAGACTTCCTAAATTTCCTATATTCATTTTATTTATTATTATTATTATTTGAAATGGATCCTTCCTCTGTCACCCAGGCTGGAGTGCAGTGGCACAGTCTCAGCTCACTGCAACCTCCGCCTCTCAGGTTCAAGCAATTCTCCTGCCTCAGCCTCCTGAGTACCTCGGATTACAGGCATGTGCCACCATGACTGACTACATTTATTTTATAAATGTATACCACTCCAGCCTACATTTATTTTATAAATGAAATGTTTTCATCATTTTCATAACTTTTTTAAAATAAAAAATTTTGTCAGAGCATAGTGGCTCATGCTTGTAACCCCAGAACTTTGGGAGACCAAAGCAGGTGGATCACTTCAGGTCAGGAGTTCAAGACCAGCCTGGCCAATACAGTGAAACCAAAAATACAAAACTTAGCTGGGTGTGGTGGCACACGCCAGTAGTCTCAGCTACTAGGGAGACTGAGGTACAAGAATCGCTTGAACCTGGGAGGCGGAGGCTGCAGTGAGCCAAGATCGTGCCACTGCACTGCAGCCTGAGTGACAGCGAGAACTTGTCTCAAAAATAAATAAA